AATGACAGAATGTGTGTATTTGTGTCCATATGCATGTGTGTGTAGGGTGGACAGCGTCCTGAAGCAGATGTCGGAGATTCGCGATCAAGATCGTAGGTTGAGAAAGCTGGAGTCGGAGGTTAGTGACGACTATGCACACCTGTCTACCTGTGGCCATCGAACACATTGACACTGGATGTTTTTAAATCCCAGCAGCATCTCACAGAGAGCACGCATGCGTCTGTGGGTGCAAGACTATGAGTCTTGTCTTATTTTAGCTGCAGCTGTTGTGTTTGCTTGCTCAGCGCAGACCAAGGCCCATCCGTCATTCTCCCTATCACTCTATGAGCCCTTAGAATGTAGATTCACTTTGAGAATCTGCCAAGCTGTCAGCCGATCAATGTAATTAAAGGGGTCATATGATGCGATTTCAATTTTTCCTTTCTCTTTGGAGTGTTACAAGCGCTTGGTGCATAAAGAAGATCTGTAAAGTTGCAAAGACTAAAGTCTCAAATCCAAAGAGATATTCTTTATAAAAGTTAAGAGTCAACCACACCTACCTAAAGCGCCTCGTTTAAACGCCCCCACATGTCTAGGTCACGATGTGGGAAGATTTGCATAACGCCGCCCAAATGTTCACGCAAAGAAAGAAGGCGTAACTTTTATTCTCGCTGTAGTATTGTTGCCGCCGCCGCTATGTCGTGAAGACACGTGTGTGTTTCGTTGTGAAAGCGAAACTACTTTATTTGGCCTTCCAAAAGAGGACAATATCTGCTTCGTCATGCCTGGAGCTGATCCGTGCTGGTCGCTGAGGAAATACATCAACTTCGCGCTGTGGATCGCCGGATCGGCTTTCACCGTGGACGAAGTGGAGTCCAGCCCGGGGTCGTCATATGTGATTGCCGCAAGCCGTTCTCAAGCCTGCCGGCCGCCGCTCACTCTAACCCGCAGTGTGTTTAGTTGTGAAAGCAAAACTACTTTGTTTGGCCTTCCAAAAGACGTCACGACTAGAAATCAGTTGTTACGTTGTATTTACAATACTGTTCCAGAACAGTTCAACCCAAATATTCAGATGTGTGCAGCGGATTTTATGGAGTACTGTTTCCTGATCCTGGGAGAGAAGACTACAATGCCGGCTGTTCTGGCTCACAGACTGTAAGTACGTTTTCATATTTAAAGGATTTGCCACTGATGATTCAAACGCAAGTTTTGAGCAGTGTAGAGTAGTGCTTGTTGTTTGGCATTTCTCTGATCACAAATGCAGACATGGTTTTGTTTACGCGCAGTGATGCAACGCAACGCGTAAAAAGACAGCATAAGTCATTATAATCCGGAATTATGTCCCCACTGGATGCAACAAATGCCTCGCTTATAATGGGTTTTAATGTTTTTGAATCATCGCTCCGGGACACGGCATCACAGTATGGTAAAGGGCGTAACATTTCCGTCACACGCTTGAGGTATTCGACCAATCACAACGCACTGGATAGCTGGCCAATCAGAGCACACCTCGCTTTTCAGAACGATGAGCTTTGTAAAAATCTACGCTTTCAGAAAGGCGGGGCATAGAGGAGAAACAATAATGTACAGTATGTGGAAAATAATGTGTTTTTTAAACCTTAAACCGCATAAACACATTTCATTACACCAAATACACAAAATAATGTCCTTATTAGCAACATCATATGACCCCTTTAATGAACCTGTGCTTTAAAGCGGATCTCAGGTTTTTGACCAGCACTCCATGTCTCTTTCTGTTTGCTTGTTACTCAGGTGCAGTATTGCTCTACTGCCCTCTCCTGGATAGTGGAGGCACTGTCTCAGAGTGATGTTGTAAAGCAGACACGTCCACCTCCTCTTCCTTCCAAAGGTGTGGTGTCCTGTCCACTCTCCCCTGCCTTTCCCCCACTTTGCAGCGTCAAAGTGTAGCTTATGTTTCTCAGGTTCCCTCTTAGTAACAGAGTTTACAGTGTTGGTTTGGCTGTAACATTTTAATGATCCTTATTTACATATAAATATACAGTTATTGATGGAGACATAACGTCCTCATACAGTCTTTATATATAAAACAGTTCCTGGAGGGCCACAGCCATAGATAGATAGATAGATAGATAATGTATGTTTGTAGAAATCTTAGTATTTTAAAAAATGTTGTTACTTCTAAATACTTTCAGTATTATGTTAACTATCATGTCTCTTCTGACTGTGTTTCAGGTATTGCTTCTAAACGGCCCACTTTTTCCAGATGAAAATGATGCTGATAATGCAGATATGCAAACGTGTGCATATTATGAACTTATTTTTGTATGATTGTATGATCAAGAACATGTTGTTTGTATCAGATTTTTAACATTGCATCAGGAAAAAAAATTAAATATAATATTTTCATTTAACAAGTATAGTCAATGTTTCACATATATGAGTTGATTTACCCCAGGGACAGGAAAGGCACAGCATAATGATAATAACCACCCAGGAGAGCTCATGAAAACTGTAATAGAATCTTGTGGGTCACTTTTAATCATTGGTCATTTGTTTCTTACCGATATTTATGCTTTGTCTTGTAAACGCTACAAAATAATTTATAAGTGAATGGCAATAATCAATGCAATCTTCCACAATTACACTGTGATAATATTCGTATTGTGTCTGTTACGGACTATTGGAAATAATTTTATTTTCTGTGATCGTAATTTATAAAAAAATTTACAAACCTGTATTTTTATGTTTTTTTTTAATTACTGATTTAAAATGGCATTAATGTACCAATTAAACTTAAATTTGCTTTTACATTCTCTTCTCTGTTTTCTATTCTCAGTATTCACCAGTGGCCATCTGTAATGACCCTGTCCCCTTTTGAGTAGCATTTGATTCCTAGGATGGCATGGTCTTAGTCTCCTACAAGCCTTACATGGCAAGAGCTGCAGTCGATGAGGATCAGGTTGTCATCTTCAGTAACAGTGGAGGGGGGTGGGGGGCAGGGGGGGACTTCTCTTCTAAGGATCTCTGCTTAAATCTAACTGGAGCTAAATCAGCACATCATCTTAGTTTAGCTACTTGCTCGGTATGAACATTAAAGTGCTGCTGTTTTCAGAACAGAATCTGTGTGCAAGCAGCTTTACTTGCATGAACATGCATGTGGAATTTTAGTAATTAGCATATCAACTAATTTAATTTGCTATGTTGCCTGAGAGAGCCCATTACTACACTCTCTTAGAAATAAAAGCTCATTATTGGCATTTATGGTTGCATGAAGAACCTTTAACATATATCCTTGGAACCTTTCCATTCCACAAAATATTCTTTAAAATGGAAAGGGGTTTGTTAGATTTTTTAAATGTTCTTCACTCTAAGAAAAATGGTTATTCTATGGCATCACTTGAAAAAAAAACTTTTTGGAACCTTTATTTTTAACAGTGTAATACATCACATTTAGCAGATTCAACCTTTAAAGCTTGAAAAGGTTATGTGTCATCATGTGCTTAGACATAGACATCAATCATAGGGTATAACATCTCATAATATTTTAAAATGTACTCATAAAGAAGTGATATATTTACAAAGAACTACCCTATCTATAAAAATAATAATTGCCCGAAGCAATAGCAAATCTAAGACTCAGACAAGCTTAAGATGCTTTTTGAAATGTGCAGACTGGACAGAGAAGTGACCCAGGTGGAGCGCAGGCTGAGAGCTAAATGGTTTAATGAGTGAGGAGGATGTGATTTTAACAACTTTTGGTCTGAGTTCTGCATCATGAAAAAAGTGGGTCAGATCAAGATACCAGGCCATAAGCACTCAGCTGTTCTCCTCAGAGTAGAAAGAGCAAGATAAAGAAAAAGTGAAGATGATCAGGGACCTGATATCGCAAAGGCATGTCTGTGTACATATCCACTTTCAACCACATTGCAGTTTAACGTCTTGCAAACCCCCCTTTCGACCACACCACCTCCCCTCGCCCAGTACCCTCGCTTTTTTTTAGTGCATAGTGAATAGATAAGTTAAAGGAGTTGGACTCTCAGAGGAACATTTAGTTTAATTTCATAGCTCAGGAAGTTCTCAGTTATGTTAAGTATCAGCTTTTTCTCAGATGTTTCTCCTAAAATTGCTTAAGACAAAAATAAAGTTGCACAAATGAGACAACTGTTGCATGCATTAGACGTATAAAGCTATACATGTAATATGTACATAATATCTATGTTGATATTAGTCCAGGAAGAATGCGGTGGACTCATATTTTGACAAATATGACTGTAATTTGAGACATTATTGAGATTATGAAACTCATATGTGATATAACTGGGGTCTTTTTATAAACATAAACATCTGAAAAGAAGAAGACTTCATTAGCCCACCATCTCCTTAATATCTAAGAGAAACAGTCGAGAAATGCTTTACAATGTATACACTGAGTTAGAGAAGGGAAAGAATATAGATACTGTAGATACATTGAGGGGCAGCGGTATGCTGAGGCTGGAGTGTGTCTATGGGGAGTCAGTGGTGCACTGTGCCAGGGAGGGTCACATTACCCTGACTGTGGTAGAGCAAGGTTTTAAATAGAGAGACTCACCCCCCACCCAGCCCTCAGCGCACTATTTTGGGGACACATAAGAGAGAAAGAGTCAGAAGGCACTGTTACTGCCACAGCCAAGATTGTCAGACAACTGTTCCAAAAAAATAAAAGTGGAGATCTGATCATGCAGTGTGTGTGTGTGTGTGTGTGTGTGTGTGTGTTTGCGTTTGAGAGAGAAAGTTTCTATGCATCAGCTTTATGGTTTTTATGCTATCATTGACAACTAGATTTATTACTGTCATGATCACGTATGAATGAACTCATTGTAAATGCTTTCATGCCGCATATACGCAATAAAATCATAAACATGGTGCACATTCAATCATCTACATGAAAGCACTTAGTTTGAAGAAGAATGACATACTTCTGCAGATGTTTGTGCTAATCACTTCATCTTCTCATTTGGTTTTATTTAACAATTCCTCCTCTTTGCTCATCGTCTTGATATAGATCTTATCATCGAGCCCCTTTCCTCCACCCTCTGCTCTCGATATATGGTCATCCTCTTCTTGGAACCCCTCCTCCGTCCCGCTGCCGTCTCTAAAGTTATAATAGTGTATGCCTCCGACCTCTCTCTCTCTCACCTCCAGCCTAAAGTGCACACCAGTGGTTGGTGGTATGGCTGCCAGCACTTGGCCCTGTCACTCATTTGCCTTAGACCCCCGCCCCCATCTCATTTTACCCCCGAGTTTGTCTGTCTGTCTGTCTCTGCACCATTAGTGAGGTCCGTGCTGCAGACACCGCCTTGCCCACCACACGGCTCTTGGTAGTCTTGAAGTGCTAAATCAACGCAGAGGGAACATTTTTGTCACATTTTCAGAAATCTACAGAAGACACTGGCTTGCGAAGGAATCTTTGTGTTTGTCTGTCACTGGGAACAAGCGTGCAAACTATTGGAATACTTTGGACCTCTTGACTTGTCACCTGTTCTACCTCGCCATAGCCTGGGTGCATCTGAGCGTCTGTGTGACTGTGTGTGAGTGAGTTTGTGAGTGTGTGTGGTTTAAGAGGATCTTGGTGGTGTCAACGTTGGGGTTTTAGTTTGACAGGTGCACGTGCGGGAGCGCTGCACTGTGATTCCTGTGTTTGGATTTACTGCTCCAATCAGACATGGCTACTCTGAGAAGCTTGCTGCTGGGGCTCTTGCTGGCCCTGCTTTGCTCCTTCCAGACACCGCTCGCGCCTTCAGCTTCTGTCAAAGCCCAGGATCTGCCATTCATCCATGAGGAAGGCCTGATGGCTGATGACGATGACGATGATGATGATGATGACGATGACGATGATGACGACGACGATGATGATGATGATGATGACGATGACGATGACGATGACGATGACGACGATGATGACGACGACGATGATGATGACGATGACGACGATGATGATGATGATGATGATGACGATGATGATAATGATGATGATGATGATGATGATGATGATGATGACGACGACGACGATGATGACGACGATGATGATGATGATGACGACGACGACGATGACGACGACGACGATGATGATGACGACAATGATGACGACGATGACGACGATGATGATGACGACGATGATGATGACGATGATGATGACGATGATGATGACGACGATGATGATGATGACGATGACGACGACGACGATGATGATGATGATGATGATGATGACCACGAAGGCACGTAAAGTTGCTCTCGAAGTGCCGTTTAATCCCCCGTAATTTAGCAAATCATCTGCCCCCTCTCTTAGCCCTCCATAAGTATTTTAACCAAATTGGGAAAGAGAGGGGAGGAGCAAGGGGCCCTTTTGGCCACTCCCACTTTCTTTATCTCAGCTCTGCCTCAAAGTGTTGCTCTTGGCCTGCCATAGTTGAGGTCCAATCAGTCGGTCATGTTATCCAATCAGATCATTCAGAGCTTAGCACAAGCCCCACCTCCTCCCCTCTCCAGCTGTCCATCACCCTGGCTGTCTTTGACTCTCTCTGTCTTCTCTTCCCTGCCTAAATAGAGCTATGAGTTCTGTGGGCCTTCTGAAGCCGGACTGCTTCAAGTCTTGATGTGCAGTACAGTACAGTGCTTATGAACTGAGGACTTAAGAGAGAAAAGAGAAAAACAAACCCAGCGCTGCAGTCTGAGCCCCAGGCCTCACTCTGGCCCAATAGATCAGATCATTCTTTGATTTTTGTCTTGTTTCGAAAGAGCGGGTTCCACCCTTTCCTTCATCCCTATATTTGTCCTGTTTGAATTTGGAATCTTCTACATTTGTGTCACCATGCATGTGAAACTACAGAGAAAGAAAGAGAGACAGACAGATGTAGTGGGGGAATATACCATGGAGAGAGATCACCGTGGAGTAGTAGGAACCGATAGAGAGAGAGAGAGAGAGAGAGAGAGAGAGAGACAGGAGGATGTTGGATGGTTGTGGGGAGTATAAGAAGGCAGACTGATTGGACAGATCGGTTCTAGATTCTCTCTCTTTCCCTACATCTCCCGGATCTCATTCTTTCTCTGTAGAGATTCTCCATTACAGAAGTGACATGTACACCACCCTGATCTGTCTGCTTGTAAAGTCATTGTGTGATATTTAAATGATCTATATGGGTTTATAAAAGTTACATATGTTATCTCTATTTATGCTAATAAATATTTATTTCATTATCCTTACCAGAAAGGATTACCATTCTCTAAATAGTTGCAAAAAAAACACTCTCAATGGACATACTCCAGTTCTTAAACATGTACTATTGCACAGTACTTTTTTTTTTTTTCATTTGAATTAAATTAGTAAAACAGACAACTGGAAACATACGGTGAGCAGTCAGGGACAATATGTATGAAGTGTTTAAAGGATAAACTAGGGATGCAGTAGCACAGATGTCAGTGGAGAGGTAGCAAAAGAGAGAGAATGTTCATTCGTAATTTACATATTCATGTTGATACACACAGGAAGTATCACAAGGGAACAGGCAATACAGCAACTATCAGGAGATGCAAAAATACGACTGTTTAGACTGAATCCTTTTTCTGTTGTAACTGTATGTTTATTTTCTTTTCCTTTTCCTGGTGTTTGTTTTTCCATTCTCTGTTTTGTATAATATCTGCTGTGTCATCATTATAAGTAGCATAATGGTGTTGTACAAAGCACCACATCTCTTAATCCCACTCTAAAACGAATAAATCAAATGATCCTGTGTTGCACAGTGTAATTTCTGTTACCTCTGTTATTTTACCTTTAAATAAACAGTGTGTGTGTGTCTCGAAATGTTTAAGCTCAAATTAATGAACATTTTTGGCAAGTATTATTTATTTGGATAGCAGACTGTATATGCAATCAATTGAGAGAATTTATTCATTGTAGCCCAAAAAGTGTACTGTCTTAACAAAGAAACCTAAATGCATCTTAAAAATTATTTTGTCATATTGTGATATTAATATAACCCTTTTATAAACCTTTATTTATTTATTTTATTATTGTTTTTGTTTTTTTAAATAAACAATAAGTATATAGTTCGTAATACATGGTAGATGTACATTTTTGTGTTTGTGTATGAGTGTGTAAAAAGTGTTCATTTTCATATATATATATATATTTAGTTACTCAAACATGTGGTGAGTTGTGTGTGTGCATGTGTGTGAAAGAGAGAAAAAAGTGGTGTTCATGTGAGTAAGACTAATTCATTCTGTTCCTCATCACAATGCTCACCACACTTTTCACATACACGTCAATAATAATAATTTAAAACCACAGCTGACAATATTTCTTTCAGATGACGACGATGATGATGATTATCATGAAGGATCCATTTGTTCATTGTGTGCCCACTGTGAGGTAGGATCCTCTGAGCTCTATTAGTCTAATAAAGTGCACTATTATTTGTAGGCTAATTATGCCTTCATTCAGCCTGTCTGAACCAGTTTTGCTTTAAATTTGGCCTTGATTCAGTCATTTCTCATTTCTCTCTCCCCTCAGCATTGCGACAGCTGTGATAAGTGCCCATGCAAAAAGGGAGACGACTCTGAACACTGCGACTTCTGTGATGTGAGAAACCCACCACAAACACACATTTCCTAAATAAATTCAATGCAGTTTACCAAAGAACTCAATACAAAACAAAGCACAGCAGTTCAGAAAAGACTATCAGTGCTACAGTGCGCTGTATCATTTTGCTCACTGAGCTAACAGCTACATTCCGTGATTACATTGTACTTTTTTTCCTAGGCTAACCAATCAAGTCAAATTAAAAGGTTTACTTGACAGTATTGTTATTTTGACATAATCTTTTGAATTGATAATCAATTCATTGTTGTTAAAACTATTTGTAATTAACTAATTTCAATTACCAGAATGAGTCCCACATTTTGCATTCAATCCTGTTATAATATAATTTTCCCCCAATACATAAAATTTAGCATTCTTGAAATTTAAAGTACTAAATTCTACTATTCAAACTCAAGCGATTCTATATTCAAAGAAATTTATGGTAAATAAGAGTTTTTATATCCAACTCCTGGCCCCAAACCTATCTCTATTTTCTTTTTCTTTTTTGTATCTGGTCCCTTTTTTCACTTAATACTGATTTTCAGGCTTTTATTCTCTAATTATGAAAAGTGCCACCAAAATACATCACCAAATTAATACATATCTGCTTAACAAAAACGTTTACAGTGCTCAATAATAATGAATTTATTCTTTAAAAGAAATGACAGTTTGATTGATTTTTTGACTACAGAAAGATATAGCTGTTCAGTGATGCTAGAGGCCCTTCAGCTGTGTTTGTGCAGATAGCCAGACCAAGCGTGCATTAATGACAATAATAATTTGCATTAGTCACAGCATGGGGGTCCAGGCCAGTAACAGTGTTTAAATGCAAATTGTGTGCTTGTCTGAAGCTATAGATGGCTAAAATATAGAGTGTTCTGTTTTCCCTACAAAACCACATGCACATATTTACACAAACAATTACTTAAAATGTATAGCATGAAATTATCTTTTGTCTCTTCAGGACTGTGGAAAGTGCTATGTCTGTCCTGTTTGTGAGACCGTCTGCAAGCCAGGTAAGAAACACCCTACAGTAATTTCATACATGCTATTTTAATTGTTTAGATTGTGGATAATTTCAAAGTCTGATTATTTTATGAACTCACTACATTTTTTTTCTAAAAGGTGGCTTTGTTGACTCTGTTTCTGGATCCATCTATAAGTAAGATAATATTCTCTTGCCAATAAACCTGCAATACTAGTTGTTGTTACAACCATATTCATATACTGATGTAGCCTATACCCTCTGCTCTTCTTTTTCAGGACTGTCGCAGACGTCTTTAATGACGACGACGACGACGACGACGACGACGACGACGACGACGACAACTAAACCCGTTTGTCACCACCATGTGGCCAAAAGAGGAACGTGCAACTGCGTTTCACAGATTTCAGGATTTACATTGTAGCGTTGTTCATTGTCGTTAAGTTTCTCTCTCTCTCTTTTAATGTTATCACATCACACGCTACAGTCTGGTCAATAAATACATACACGTGGAACTTAAATAATTTCATTATCTTAAATTAAATGTATTTAATTGAACAACATTTCCCTTTTAAACAGTCTTGTTATTAACATATGATATGAAATGTAATTGCAAACCTAACTGTGTTGTTTTGAGACTACTTATGGAATAAAATGAGGGATCGTTTTATTTATGTGTGTAAGTCTAATAATATTTTTAAAATACTTTTAAAAACATATCAGTGTAGACAGAGTATAATTGTATGCAGTGTTGGGAAGGTTACTTTGGAAATGTAATAGGTTACAGATTACAAGTTACCCTATTTAAAATGTAATGAGTAGTGTAACTATTTCAGTTACTTTATTAAAGTAATGTAACTGATTGCATTTGATTACTTTTCGAAATTTCTAATGTTTTCAACTGTTCATTATTTTGAAACATTTAAAGCAGGCAGGGTTAACCTTACAGTGGTACGCAACACTGATTACTGTCAGACTTTCAGAATCCTTCATCACTTGAATTAAGATTATAATAATTTAATTGTAATGCACAGCCACCTCAAAATCAGACTTTAGCACCTCTTTTTACTTTGAGATCTTTTTGAGGTTAAATACAGATTTAAAATCATAAGATATACTTTAATAGTTATGATACTGTTTTTGAAATCATTGCTTAGCTATGACAGGAAACACTGGCATCTAACAATGCCTTGGGGAAAAAAAATCATATACATAAACCAAAATAGGAAATAAAACAGTTATCGAATAAGCATGTGTCCTATTCTGTGTCCTCAACTCCTGAAACATTGGTGTCTCATATTTTAAATCTGTATGTGTGCGGAAATATTCAGATGTAACCCCCTTTGTAATCATTAACATTTTCATAAGTAACTGTAATTTAATTACACATTTGTTTCTCAGTAACTGTAACAGATTACAGTTACATTTATTTTGTAATTAAATTACGTAATTAGTTACATGTAACTAGTTACTCCCCAACATTGATTGTATGTGAGGGATGTCCTTACTGTCTCTGTTGAACTGAATAGGTTGTGATGTTTTTCACTTTTCTGTCAATTTTTCAGCTGACGAAACATGATTTCCAAACATTTGTGATATGAAATGTGGCCTTAAAGGGATGTGCATACAAAAAAGAAAACTGTGTCATCGTTTAATCACCATCATGTTGTTTCAAACTTGTGATTTTCTTGTATGATTTTCTTTCTTAAGCAGAAAACAAAAGGAAAAGTTCTGTACTAGCAGAAGCGGGCCTTAAGATATTTGAGGTCCAATAGTAAAAGTATGCTAATAAGAACATAGCCTAACTAGTGCACTAAATAGGCTATTCACACAATATAATATACCATTAGACTCTCTGTATTACGTGGTTATCATGAGTCAATAAACAATAATGTTAAACTGTTTGTTTGACCATTGTCCATGTCAACGTTCAGGTACTTTATGTCTCCTTTTGCTATTTTCACACAAATGTGAGCCGCTTATTGTCATTCCATCCTGCAACTTTAGATGATTAGCAACCATCTGTAGTAAAGAGGCCTTGGGGGAATAACTTAACTAGTGAGCATCCTTTTCATAAAAGACTAGAACAGGTAAAAGACACAAAGGTGGGAGTATGAACATAAAAATTTTTATTTTTTTATTTTTTTTATGCTTCCATTTACAAAAAAACAAACAAGGAACATAAACGCATCACATAATCTAACAATACGTGAACAGCCTTAGGTTGAGCATAATCAGTGATAAACAAGATCACAATAAACCAATAATAAAGAAGAAAATAAATAAATAAATAGAACAAATAAAACAAACCAAAAGGGCTTTTTACATTAGTTTATACATGCCCCAAAAATCAATTTGAGAGCTTTCTTGTTTTTAACCAATTCTAAAGATTTGCACAAAATTTTGACCTCATTCATCCACTGGTTAAAGTTGGCTTTAGATTTAAACCATATACATTTATGAATGAAAAACTTTCCAAGACAAAGCAAGAAATTAATAACAAAATCCAACTCTTTGTTTTCCAGACAAATACCCAACCTAATTAACTTCATCATAAGGGGTGGGTGTTCCACCTCTCTAGACTGTAGCCAGTTCTGTACATCTCTCCAAAAAAGTTGAACAACAAAAGAAAACATGCTCTAGATTTTCAATATTCGTTTCACAAAAAACACAATTATTTACATCCAAATTAAATTTCAGTCTTAAAAATTCATTGGTAGGATAAATCTCATTTAAAATTTTGAAGTTCACCTCCTTAACTTTAGGAGGAAGAGGAAAAGATATATAGCTTTCCCTAATTTTTTAAATTTCCATAATATAAAAACCTTTGAGCATGTATTCCCTTCTAATAGGGTTAGGATAATAAGCCTGTAAAATAAAATCTCTAATGACTCTATTTGTACAGTTTTTATCACAAAAATCATAACCTTCTAAGGAGAGCTGTCTCAGTTCTGGGGAGACTTTGGAGTACAAAATGTCTTCTTTAACTATTAATCTTACAGCAATTGGAATGGCTCTAATTATTCTATTATAAGTATTAACAGAACACTGCAGTTGGAATTTTTCACAGAATTCTCTATACAGTAACAAATTTCCATTATCATCCAAGAAATGGGCAATCGCCCAAATTCCTTTGGATTTCCATTCCTCAAAATAAACTGACTTTCTGCCAATCTTTTTGAGTGTTGTGAGGTGTGAAGTTATGTTTGTACAATAATTTCCAATAGAGCAGCACTTGCTGATGGAAAGCTGAAAGTTTAACTGGTAACGAGGTACACTCAAAATCACAACATAGAAAAAAATGTATTCCTCCCAGTTTGTTAAAAATTGCAGTGGGGACAATACACCAAAAAGAACTGCTATTTTGAATGAAGGATTTTAACCATTTCAATTTCAGAACACCATTCATAATATCAAAATCGATCGCATTCACACCACCGTCTTCATATTTTTTAATCATATCTTCCTTTCTTATGTAGTGACATTTATTTCTCCAGATAAATTTAAAAGTCACTTTATTTATTAATTCGATAATTCTTGTCGATATGGGCAAGGAGAAGGCTGGGTAGATAAGTCTGGACAAACTATCCATTTTAGACAAAAGAACCCTTCCAAAGATTGTAAGATCCCTCTGTAACCATCTGTTCAGAGTGGATTTACATTTATCTATGTTATTCAATACATTTTTATTCTCCATTATTTCTCTATCTTTAGAAATTGTAATTCCCAAATATTTAACTTCCTTTTTAATTTGTATATTAAATAATGTCTGTAAAGGAAACTCATGTAAAGTTAACATTTCACATTTCTTTAGGTTCAAATAAAGCCCTGAAGCTTTAGAAAACTGGTTGATCGAGTGTAAAGCTAGTGGAATTTGTTGTTTGTCATCGTTTAATCACCATCATGTTGTTTCAAACTTGTGATTTTCTTGTATGATTTTCTTTCTTAAGCAGAAAACAAAAGGAAAAGTTCTGTACTAGCAGAAGCGGGCCTTAAGATATTTGAGGTCCAATAGTAAAAGTATGCTAATAAGAACATAGCCTAACTAGTGCACTAAATAGGCTATTCACACAATATAATATACCATTAGACTCTCTGTATTACGTGGTTATCATGAGTCAATAAACAATAATGTTAAACTGTTTGTTTGACCATTGTCCATGTCAACGTTCAGGTACTTTATGTCTCCTTTTGCTATTTTCACACAAATGTGAGCCGCTTATTGTCATTCCATCCTGCAACTTTAGATGATTAGCAACCATCTGTAGTAAAGAGGCCTTGGGGGAATAACTTAACTAGTGAGCATCCTTTTCATAAAAGACTAGAACAGGTAAAAGACACAAAGGTGGGAGGATGAACATAAAAAAGTTATTTTTTTTATTTTTTTTATGCTTCCATTTACAAAAAAACAAACAAGGAACATAAACGCATCACATAATCTAACAATACGTGAACAGCCTTAGGTTGAGCATAATCAGTGATAAACAAGATCACAATAAACCAATAATAAAGAAGAAAATAAATAAATAAATAGAACAAATAAAACAAACCAAAAGGGCTTTTTACATTAGTTTATACATGCCCCAAAAATCAATTTGAGAGCTTTCTTGTTTTTAACCAATTCTAAAGATTTGCACAAAATTTTGACCTCATTCATCCACTGGTTAAAGTTGGCTTTAGATTTAAACCATATACATTTATGAATGAAAAACTTTCCAAGACAAAGCAAGAAATTAATAACAAAATCCAACTCTTTGTTTTCCAGACAAATACCCAACCTAATTAACTTCATCATAAGGGGTGGGTGTTCCACCTCTCTAGACTGTAGCCAGTTCTGTACATCTCTCCAAAAAAGTTGAACAACAAAAGAAAACATGCTCTAGATTTTCAATATTCGTTTCACAAAAAACACAATTATTTACATCCAAATTAAATTTCAGTCTTAAAAATTCATTGGTAGGATAAATCTCATTTAAAATTTTGAAGTTCACCTCCTTAACTTTAGGAGGAAGAGGAAAAGATATATAGCTTTCCCTAATTTTTTAAATTTCCATAATATAAAAACCTTTGAGCATGTATTCCCTTCTAATAGGGTTAGGATAATAAGCCTGTAAAATAAAATCTCTAATGACTCTATTTGTACAGTTTTTATCACAAAAATCATAACCTTCTAAGGAGAGCTGTCTCAGTTCTGGGGAGACTTTGGAGTACAAAATGTCTTCTTTAACTATTAATCTTACAGCAATTGGAATGGCTCTAATTATTCTATTATAAGTATTAACAGAACACTGCAGTTGGAATTTTTCACAGAATTCTCTATACAGTAACAAATTTCCATTATCATCCAAGAAATGGGCAATCGCCCAAATTCCTTTGGATTTCCATTCCTCAAAATAAACGGACTTTCTGCCAATCTTTTTGAGTGTTGTGAGGTGTGAAGTTATGTTTGTACAATAATTTCCAATAGAGCAGCACCTGCTGATGGAAAGCTGAAAGTTTAACTGGTAACGAGGTACACTCAAAATCACAACATAGAAAAAAATGTATTCCTCCCAGTTTGTTAAAAATTGCAGTGGGGACAATACACCAAAAAGAACTGCTATTTTGAATGAAGGATTTTAACCATTTCAATTTCAGAACACCATTCATAATATCAAAATCGATCGCATT